AGCGAGTTTTCATACTTTCCAATGTCGTTTTTAGATTACTTCTTGTTTTTTTCAACCCTCGAAAAAATAAGGTTCCGAAAGTTTGCGAAACATGAGGTTTGGTATGCTGTTTGTTGTCGAGATATCCCGACTTATTCCGTGTATCCCTTCAATCGCCAGAAGTGGCAATGTGTTTTTTTTCCCGTTGAATGTCGCTCATTTATCAGTGTTTTGGTCTTGGCACCATTGTTTTTTTATGCTATAACCGAAACAACTCGATCACGTGATCTCCCGAAGTCGCCCGATTGACTCCGAAAATGACCGATAGTCGGAGATAAACGTTCATTTGCGTAAATCGACTTATTTTTTAATGCGGCGAAATAAACAGTCAAAATAAACATTCGACATCGCGGCAACTATCATAGTTCAAAGGAAACGAAGTGGTTGTTCTTCCTGGGGTTTATAATTCCATGCTTATACTAAAATATGTTTTCTTTATTGAAAAACATCCGTTTCACAGCTTCCACAGTCAGCTGGCGCACACGTGATAATAAAATAAATACGATATTTACTATATGGGGGCTGCCATCTTGAATGCAGCATAAAACTAAATAAGAGACAAGTTGTGAAACGCGGTTTTCAGATTCCTAAAAATCTGGACAAAAATACCAATCTTTCACAAAAATGCGATCAGTTGGGGTTATATTAAGCAACCGATAACAAAATTCAGCGTTTTTGGGTGGGAAAATTCCTTAAATACAAACGTATTTAAGGGATTTTTCCACACAAAAACGCTGAATTCGGCCGAATGCTGTGTTGTACCGACGCAATTCTTTGGAAATTCCCGAAGACTTTCCAGTAACGCAATGTGGAAGTGAATTATCGATGTCATACAATCTGTTGGAATTGATTTCTGCAAATAAACGACATGGTTTTTCCAAAAAACTAGTAACCAGCCATTTTTGAGAGGTAAACTGAATATGGCATGAAATATTTACCGCATTTTACTTGTATTAACAGGTCATTGCCGAAGCATAGTTTACGCACGGTTACCGTGGTCTATGCATTCAGTACATGTTCACAGTGGTCGATATCCAGCTGTATCATATAAAAACCATTACCAAGATTTGTTGCGCAAGACCAAGTTTTAAATTAGTTGCATTTTGAAGGGGTGGGCGCTTTGCGGAATGCGACCCCAAATATGAAATTTTCGCAAAAGTGGCAGGTGGGCGCTTGCCTGGGCATGGGCGCTAACGCGGTCGAGTACAGTATGTGAATTTGCATTGGTGGTGGGAATTATAAAATTGTGAACAAATATTTTCGTAAATAACACTAATTCTCATTACCCCTGGTAGTGTGTATCATTTCTGCATATAATTACATATCTCGTATACTTTTTATCATTTTAATTATACATGGTATTCCCAGATTAACCCCTGTTTTTAATGACACATACAACATTAGATTCTCAACTCTGATGAAAAGACAAGTTTCTTCCACTAACCACAAAAGCAAAACATTTTGAAAGCCAATCATCACGAAAGCCAATCATTGCAAAGCTACTAGTTGAGCATTAACACAGATTATATTCATAACCATACTATTGTAGAATACTTTATTTTTGCTATTTTCGCTGAAGGGACGATTCCGTGAAAATAAAATCCAGTGAATATACTTTTTTTCCTATATTTCACATTGAACTCATCAGAAAACAGTGAAAATAAATTTCATACAAAACGCCCAAAAAGCCTTTTCAGCGAAAATTAATTCCAGCGAAAGTAAAGTATTCCACAGTATTTATTTTGTTTAACATCACTTGCACCAATCAGTCATTTTTACCTAATTGATCAAAATCTGATATGGGGACTGTTGTGTTGACTTCTCTTTAGCAGTTAATGTAGAATTCTACTCATAAATGCAAATGCTTGGCAGTATAATGATATTGACTTTAAAAAGTCACTAGTCTTATTTTTGAGAAAATGACGGTTGTATTTTAGTGGGCCATTTAGTCAGTATTATAACACATTTACCATATGCTAGGTTTTTATGGCATATATATGAATTATTTCAAAAATTTGGGTTTTAAAAAGTGTCAAAAAATTGTGTTCTGTGGAATTGCTTTAAAAATAAAGATTTTGTCGGGGATGGGTTCGA